TTTGTATGCATTTTTTCTTTTATAAATAAAATACATATGTTTTACAAATTAAAATATTATATACATACATACATACATATTTCATTAAGTTAAATAGCACATGGCTCTAAACATAATATGTACATGTGATAAATAAAAAAAAAGCAAAATCATACGAATGTTCAAGATGAAACGCTTTTTCCGTATTTTTAAACAGATTCACCCTTACCGTAGAAGAAACTCAACGTGAGATGGTTCGCAGATATCGAGCTTTAAAATTTTGAGCAAGAGAAATTGACAGTTCATACATATGATTTTTTAGAGGTTTTCTGAGATTCTTCAACTAAAATAGTTTAAGAAGTCAACATATTTTTGCGATATTTTTATTAACTTCTGCGTGAACTTTCATACCTTGATACCTTCGTTATTTGGTTTATTGATCATCAAACTGTAAATGAATGACTCAAACAGAAGTTGGCTGCGTTACAAACATACGCATGTCAAAAAATATGTCAAATTCAACACATGAAGTTTGCTGCAATAAGGACAGTGGCTGTGAATTTAGAATTAGGGCTAAGCTGAGCAGTACAGCCAGCTGTCACTGGCGTTGTGTGTCGCTTCATAGTACAGCAGAGTTCCTAAAAAGCAACTAATTTCGAAAACTACCATTGCCACTGTTGTATTTAGGGCTGTTGTGTTTTAGGCTATATGGTTGCAATTTTTTTCTCATAAAACCCATCGCTAAATTCTCAGTCACTCTGTCCGATCAATACAGATATTGCCGCAATTATGAACGGAGCTCTCATTTAAATCCCTGAACGAATTTACAAACTAGGACCAGAAGGGATCGTTTAATATAATATTTTCAAGAAGCGAGACTACTTTTAAGGTTAAGATCATTGCTAGTATAAACAGCAAGCAGAAAACCTGTACACAAGATAAAACGAGAAATGTAAGATGATTCTACACCTACCATGGGATTTTATGCTAAGTTAAGGGGGGAACCTGGTTTAGAGGATCAAGAAATCAATTTTTTGAAATTTCCACAAAATTTCAAAATCAAATTCCTAATCCTTCCGCAGAAATGGCCTCTGAGAGACAATGCGCTAAGGAGACTGATAAGCGGGCGTGAGAACTTTGAACGCGATTTTCTCAAAACAGTGTTTATCTGTTTTGTGCACACGATTAAAAAAGTTGTAATTGTCGCATTTTCAGATACCTTTTTTTATAGCTAACAGTGTAGGCTTCTATGTGAGCCTTTTTATTAACTTTTTTCAATAAATTATCTTAAAATTTCTTCAGAAAAACGCAAAAATTTTTATAAATAGTCATAAAATAAATAATTTTATAAATTTTTTCATATATCTTAGGTTCACATAGAAGACTACAAAGCTATAAAAAAGTATTTGTTTTTATCTTTCACATGATAACTACGATCGCTAAATAGACTCTTCGAGCGAGAAGTGAAAGTAAATTTTTTTTTGCAATATTTTTGTATCTATGACCTATTTCAAAAATACTTGAAACATTTCATACGTAAGGCAAGCTAAAACACTGTGCCGAATATCATGCTATTTTCAGCGTTCTAAACCAGGTTCCCCCCTCAAATGACTTGCTCTTTCTCTTTGCCACGACTTCGAGTCAGTTTTTATTTACTTTGTACACTCGAATACGAAATCATTGTTATGAAGTCTGTACTGGTTTATAAGCTATCTTTGATTCTATTGAAACATGAGCCTAATATAGTCTGAATTGGCCTGCTCACTACTCACTGTTGGTTAATGAAAGTTGGTAACTCGGTCTTTTTCTTTGAGTATATGGGGGAGAGTTATATGAAAAAGAAGGTTTTAGCAGATATTTAGGATATTCAGGACCCATAAAAAATGTAGATTAAATTGACTTATTACCTTACATGTGACATTATCGCACAGATGTTGTCATTTGGTCAGACGCTCGTTCCTCAATAACAAATTTTTTCTGTTGTCAATATTACTTATTTTTCATTAGGATGCTTTGATATATTTTATGGGATTCTATATGAGTTGTGATCAATTTTTTTGCGGCCCTATATAATGGCTTACTGTTATTATGAAGGCCAGGGATAGAGTCCTGGTTCGACCAACACTGAAAATTATGAAAAACTGATTTTTCTTTTTAGCGGTCCCCCTTCGGCAGGGGATGTCAACCTCTCCGAGTGTGTTTTCAAACAAAATAAAAGCTCCTCATTAAAATCATCGGTAGCTCGGAAAACGTCAAGACGGCTACCTCAAGTTGGTAGAGGTGCTCAGCTCATTGTGATATTCAATTCTCGAAAAATTTTTTTTTTTAAATAAATTAACTGCATATTTATTTTATTTTATGTTGTTTCTGAAGAGCCGTAAAGCTTTATTATGTTTATTTATTTATTTTAATTAAATAATAATTGTTAAAAGCCAATTAGTTAAAACCGAAAAAAAAGTTCAAGGATCCATTTTAAATAAAGAAATTCAAGAATTCTTAATCATACCTCTCCAAGGTCGAATTTTTTGCTTATTAGGCATACTTTTTTACGTAACGCAGCATGAAAAAATGCGATTTGTCAATGTTCGCTTCGCGCGCTTTGTACCTCTAATTGAAGAGACGATGTAATTTTAAATTACAACCAATCAACGGTATTGTTTAGTCATCGACTTTATCATAGCGCAGAAGTGCTTGACACAGGCGCGCATACTTGCACATATATCAACTCATCACTCATTGCTGCAAACTTTTGACATCTTGAACACCGTTAAAACTGCACATCAAATACCAAGCAAGCCTCATTCCTAAAAGAAAAACAAAACACAAACAATGATTCCCATGAAAAAAGGAAATAAATAATAAGAATAGAGACGTGCAAATGTGCTACGTCTACGCCCAATTTTCTAATTTGCAAGAAGTTTCACGATGATTTTTATATTTGAATTTTTTTCGTTCAAATTTTAGTTAATAAGCGAAATTCAGCAAAACATCATTTTGATAAGTAGCCAAAATATTATTAAACATATAAACATAAATACTTTCTGTGTGTGTTTGTGCGCTAACGCCACGGTGTCTAGCGTTTCGTCTCAAAAATTTATCATTTGAATTGTTATTTTTTTTTTTGTCTTAGCGCGTTTATAATCGCACAGCGAGCGTACGTTGTTATGAGGTGCTTGACTGCTGCTCAGAAGGTTAATTGTCAATTGTACAATAATTCGCTTCACTAAAAGTTTTGACAGAAACTTAAATGTTTGGGCACTTCCATATATACGCTTAGATATTTATGTACATATAAACATACGCCAAATCAAAAATTATTTTTCCTAAGTGTTTGAATTTGACGATGTTATCTTAATTATGCTTTTTTGTGAATTTTTTTTTTGGTTTAACAAAGATTTTTTCCATTTAAATTCTTTATTTAATTAATAAATTTATTGCTGTTTATTAATTTGGCAGAGATGCTTATTATCAATGATCTCAGCTTCCATTAGTTTCACCAAATTAAATCAAAAAGGTATTTATTTCTGTTTATATTGAATATTTATTTGCATTAGTCGATGGTTGACCTTCCGGGATAAGTCAGGTAATCGAAGGTTTTACATAACTTTTTTTAGTCTTAGGCAAATATCGTTTACTTCATATGCACTCATTTGAATAAGACGTATATATATAGAAATATTAATTTTTGTAATTTCTATATACATGTAAAGGAGTATTATGTTAATTTATTATATATTTTTATTTTATTGCATTTTATTTTATTTTTTTTATTTCTTTTAATTTAATTTTCTTAATTTTATTTTAATTTTATTTTACTTTATTTTGTTCTGCTTACTTCCGTTTTTTTTAATTTAATTGGTTTTATTTGCTACGGTTTTACTTTCTTACTGATTTTATATGATATATTAATTTATTTCATGATATATTATTTTTTATGTTAATTTATTTTATTTCAAGTTACTTTGTTTCAATTTTTTGATATTAATTTATTTTGTTTTATTTGATTTTACTTTATTTTATTTAATTTTTTTTTATGTTATTTTTAATTTAATTTAAATTTTTTTTTTTAATATTTTTATTTATTTTGCTTTTCATTTCATTTTACTTTGTTTTGTTTTATTTTATTTTATCTCATTTTATTTAATTTTTCAAAATCTACTTTAATTTAAATTATTGTTTAATATTTTTATTTATTTATTTTTTTCTTTTATTATTATCTTAATTTATTTGATTTTATTTCTTTTTATTTTATTTCATTTCATGTTATTTTACTTTATTTTAATTTTATTTTATTTCATTAATTTTTTTATTTCATTTGATTAAATTACATTTTTGATTTTGTTGCCATTTTTTAATTTATTTTGTTTTATTTAATACGATTTTGCTTTCTTACTATTTTTATATATTGTAAAAGTTGATTTTATTATATTTTTTTTATTAATCCATTTATTTCATTTCACATTGTTTTAATTTTTAGTTTTATTTCATTTTGCTAAATTTTATTTGACTTTATTTTGTTTTATTTCGTTTTATTTTATCTTATTTTTTATTTAATTTAATTTAATTTAATTTTATTTTTTTCAATTCTTTTGATTTTATTTTGTCTTATTTTATTTTGATTTATTTTATCTTATTATGCTATATTTTTTTTGTAATCTTTTTTTTATTTTAAATATATATGTATATAATTTTGCGTTATTTTATTTTACTTTTTTTACTTAGTTGGATTTAATATTAGTTTGTTTTTAATTAATTACTTTATTTTAAAGTATATAATTTAATATAATTTTTTTTTAATTTATTTTATTTTCTTTTCTATTTTATATTATTTTACTTTATATTATTTTGGATAGTACCGTTTTCTTATATTTTATCTTATTTCTTTTATTTTTTTAAGTAAGTTTATTTTATTTCGTTTTGTTTTATTTAATTTATTTTATTTTATTTTAATTAATTTTTTTATTTATTTATTTGCTTTTCCTTTTTGTGTTGTATTTTCTATCAATAAAAGATAATATCAAAACTCTTTCAATATAATATACTTAATTTTATTTCGAACATACCCTCACTGGCGTTCTCTTAAAACCTATAAGTATAAATACCCCCCACACCCCATTGTGGTGGACTATTTCCATATGGTCCACCCAAATGTTGTGCATATTGTCCGGTAGCGTCAAATGAATGTCGAGCATTGCCACTTTGCCAGACCGGCACGCGGGCGTTAAGACTTAAATCCAGACCTTTACCAGGACTACCTCCGCCCTGAAGATTGAATTGACGTTTCGAACGCTGTAAATTTGCAAAGAGAGCCTAAGAAAAAATTTAAATTTAGTGTGTTTAATCTTTACTGAATTTTTTCAACTACTCACTACTTTATACTTACATCCTCATCATTGAAAAACCCGGAGTTCTGTGGTTGATATTCTTTAGGCAAGGCAAAACTTATGTGTATTAAGCAAAATAAAATTAAAATTTTAGCGAGCATTTTTGCGTTTGTCTCTTCTTCGATTCTCCTATGTAAACTGAATTCTTTTGTATTTCCGTACTGGACTTTTATAGCAAAAGGAATGTAGGTAATCATTATCTCTACGCATATATAGTAATATTAAAAAAAGATCCCCCAATTAGAAAATCCCCGTGATTTCAATACATTTCATGGGGAATATTTTTTTACTACCGCTTGTTATCAACTTGCTTCAGTACGCTTAAGAATAAAGCATTGTTAATTGCAATACTGTACGGTTCAAGCTGTAATTGAATTTCTGAGAAGAGTGAAAGAGGATGTCAGCTACGCATATAAATCTTCACAAACGCTCCGGAAAGTATAAAAAAAGAGAAGGACTTAAACTGCTGTTTGAGGTCATAAATAAATATAGTAACCCTCGTAGTTGGGAAAACATTAGTTTTCAACTAGACCTGAAGAAAAAAGTCTATTTAAAAGAATGTTATGTATTTTGGATTGATTTCCACAAAATCAGTGTACATTTTTGAGGATCGGGGAGGAAAATGTCACTAGGATATTCGAATAATGAAGCAGCGTTATCGGGGCAGTGGACTCAATAATATTTGACAGCAGCCCACTGGTGTTGTTTGTAACGAGATCTACATAAAATCGTTCATTCGAAAAAATCTTATAAAAGAAAGCAAAAATTAGCAGTTCCCAGAAAGAATAGAAAAAAAAAATTGAGTAAAACAGCGCTTGTGTTGAGCAGGGTATTTTCTTCTCAAATAGTTGAGCTAAGTTCTTGCCGCTGTTAGCTTGTGACCATAGCAATATTCCTGTTAACTTCTCAATCAAACGAATAATAATAAAGATTGTAAATTCTTGTAGAAGATAACCCAGAGTAGAATTCAAAAGGGTTTTTTTCTGTGGATGTTGTGTGTAGTCACGTTTGGTCCATGGTAGCGTTGGTACTCGACATACTTTTTCTCCTCCACGTCCCCACATCTGCGGCAAAAATCATTGAACTATTTTACGGTGAAGCTCCATAAAAAAGGATACAGTTGATACAATAACAGAGAACTAGTATAACTAGAAATTTAATTTGTTTGCTATTTTACGTATGGTTGCTTTGAGCCATATTCTAATGGACTTTTAGAAAAGGTCAGCTAATCATCACTGTGGTCAGGTCCTTGGCGAAGAAAGAAGTGTAAAACTTTAACCGATCCGAGCAATGAATATGTATATTTTTCTAGATAACTCAGTCCACTTTCCGATAAAAAAAAATACTTTCATGTATAAAAGGACTATGAATGCGAAGTTTTCGAATTGTTCTGCTCCAAGTCGCGGAGAGAAAAAAGTATTTTTTGTTAATCTAAGTAAAAAGTCACTTCTGTATCAAACTTCAAGTAAATCGAACCATAGCTATGATGTTTTTTATATAGTTCCGTCCGTGGAAAAAAAGTAAAAGTAGTGTTCCTGCTAATCTAAGTAAAAACTTGCTTATGTACCTAGATATGATTTTTTCTGAAGAAATCAACGCCTTTTTAACTTCCGCAAACGAAAAAAAGGTACAAACTTATCCAGGAACCATTGAAACCAGCTAACAAATTTGCAAGGTATTTTCGAAGATCACAGAAAATAAAAATGAAAACAAAAACTTTTGCATATAATATAAAACTGATGTTCTGACATCTTAAGAGGGTTCCGTCTACCCGATTACTGGCTTCACGACAAATCTCAAGGTAGTTATCATGGATAGAAACCAATGGGGCAGCATAATACCAGCTAACATCGACCCTATGGGTCCGACCAGTTGACTATCCTTCGGCTATATTGTGTGCTAACTTCTTTTTATTTCACTTTTCCACTCTGTTTATATAAAACACCTAAAAAGAACTCAAAAATGTCATTAAAACGCAAATTTTTAAAAATTACTCGAAAATGTGCATTTAAAGACGATGTTAACTCCTGCCATAAGGACGTCACATCTTGTGAATACCTTGGCCAAGTCCGGATTGTTCTCTAAGAATTCAATGAATATGTCTGTTTGAGTAGTATTTTTATATTTCCGCCTAGTTAAACATTTATTTTACAAATTTAAACATTTTGTAAAAACCATTGTTCATGACTTACATTTTTATTAAATTTCTGTTTGCAAAAAATCAATAAACGCAATTTTTCGAAAAGACTTCACTCACTTGGATTCAGCTCAAACTTGAAAGGACCGCTGAAAATATATTCGAAAAATTCACTCTCTTTCGTGATCACGTCGTCTACGCCGTTTTCATTTTCATTGGATGGAAGCACACAGTGAGGAGCAAAAGTGATTCCACTATCAACGTTTTCATGTTTGGGAGCACATAAAAACTAAACGAACGAAGTAAATGTTAAAACTTTTGAGTGTTTTTTTAATAGTATTTTATTTGTAACAACAAGGCGTAAGAAATAAAGAAATTGAAGAAGCTATAGAAAAGTTATGAATCAAAAACAAAAACAAACGGCATGCGCTTCTTATTTTCTTTGACATTTTCCATACGTTTTGGCAAACTTCCAACTAATTTTTCAAATATTCCTTCGGATCAATTATTCCACTCTTGAATCGAGACGTCGCTTTACGATTAAACAAGCCGGCCGCTCCATCATCATAAGATTTTGGTTTCCGAGGCATTCTTTAACAATTTTCGCAGTGTGCTTGGGAGAAAAAATTGGAAAGAATAGGCTTGCGATATGATCAAATAGTCTTCCTTTGGCATAATCGAGTCAATTTTGTGCAACGGTCCAACGTGCGAATATGTGAAACACCCCCATGCCATTATGTTTCACGGTTTGCTTCACATGATGCCTTTGAAGCTTGTCACCAGGTCTCCGCCAACAGTATTGCTTTCCATCAAATAGAAACCGATTAAACTTAGATTCGTCCGTCCAGATAACACGTTTCCAGTCTTTTATTGTCCAGTTCTTGTGTTCCTTGGCGAATTTTATCCGAGCCTTAACATTTTTCTCGGATTAAGCTGGTTTGTATTTTTTCACTGCGGCGACATACCCAATCCTACCAAACGCTGTTCTAGCTGCCCATCGCCTCACACGTTTATTTACTTCTGTGGAAGCTTCTTTTGGCATTAAGACTCTATTTTTTATTATTTTAAACATTGTAAGTCGAGCGTCAGAGTCTGTTAGAAGGCAACGGCGACCATTCAACTTGTTTTGAGCACAAACATTTTGCCTTTTATGCACCTTGACAACCACTGATTGACTAATACGCAGCTTCTCAGCAATAGTGCGTGTCGAACACCTACTTTTAGTCAGGGAGATAATACTATTTTCTTTATCAGAAGATAGCTTCTTTATTTTTCAGTGAATAGTTGGAGACTAAGTTCCAAACTCAACAAAACAACTCTAAACTAGTGGAAGGAAAGGATTTTCTGAACTCTGACAACTCTAATGCTGATAAGAAAGTAAGAAGAGCAAAAATATGAGCGAATAACGGATGGTGCAAAACTGAGTACAAGCTATATACGCCTAAGTGTAAAAAAATTAACAAGCTGTTCAAAAAAAAAAAAAGTTTTTGTCATTTACTTTATTCGTTTCATACTTATGTAAGATCATACAGGAAAACATTGATGGTGGAATCACTTTTGCTCCTCACTGTACATGTTTGCACTTGAATGAAAACGAAAAGAACGCCTGCTCAACATTCTAAGAGATAATCAAATGCTCCTCACTGAGCGCCAAGTGAGCATATCTGCCATCAAACACTTTCGATTATGGCGATGAGCTACTTGCATAGATCATATCTCCGCTCATTTTTATTTAGGACACTGAGAGAGCAGGCAAATTGCGCACATAAAACATCTGTTCACACTTTTGTTTTTGTTTTTGTATATAAATTTATATTTGTACAAATCGAATACATAATCAGCTGAGAAAATGTCAGACAATACATAAGCCAACAAACACACACCACCTCCAGACCGGCAACACAGCAGCGGAGCCAGCGAAATTCGACGAGAAACGAAAACAAACACAGAAATAGAAACATCAAAAAAATATAAATAAATAAATACAAAAAAGTTGTGTATAGAAAATAAGTAAGAGAAAAATTTAAAAAAACTTTCCGCTTTTACAGTAGTATGTATTTCATTAGGAAAATAAAGGCGAGTATATATTGTACATATATATAAAATATTATGTATACAAAATGTGTTGTATATTTATATGTATTTCCTTAAAGAAATAAATAAATGTGTAACTATATTTACATATATATATATATATACATATGTTTGCATTCATGCGAGTGCTTTTAGAAACAACACAATTTTCTATCTGCCTTCTCAGTATTAAAGTGCTAACGATCGTGCGTGGAGCCCCACAGCAAGTGAAAGTGAATTTAGAACGAAACAATCAAAAATATTAATATTGCACAAGAACTTTTTATTTTTCAATTTATTTAAGGCAGCAAACATGAAATCCACAATAAGTTTTGTGCTACTGCTGATCTACATATGCATTTTGTTTATCACCACGCCGCAGCAGGCAGCGGCAGCGCCACGCGTTGGTATTGTTTCTTTACCAACAATGAGCTTTGTACAGGTGGGTTTGTCTATGTGTTAGTGATGTTGTTATTGTAGTTTGTTATGAAATATTTATTTGTTTGTTTATTCGCTTAACAGTACCACGAAATTTCGCCGGACTCGCTTGTGCCTCACAAACGTGTCAAACGCGTTAAAAGAGATGCCTTCGACATCGTGCCCGATCGGGTAAGTGACACTCGTAATGGGAGTGAACGTGTCAAAGATCGTTTTCCTGTATGGGATGATGCAAAGGGCGAGCCGGTATTAGATTAGTGATTATCAATAAGTTAGCAATGATGTATTAGCTTAAGTGGGTCAACCAGCATATAAAAATAAATAGACAACATGAAACAAATAAACAATTTCTTTAAGAATTCAAGCTCAGGCTGTAATGGTTGTTAGAGTTTGACTCTTTTGTGGTTTTAAGTGCTCTCCACTTTATGAAATTTCTTCCAAAATTATGTCACTTCATGTCAGCGATACAATCGGAGCGGTTAATAATTCCAGACGAACACGTTTTGTGGCTGGAATTGGAACCCGTGACCTCTCGTAAGCACTAATATCCACAGTGCTACAGGGAAGGAAGTTTAAACATTGAAACTCAAGAGAGATTAAACAAGGATTGTTCTCTCCCCACTGCTGCTTAACATTAATATCTCGAAAGGGATTTCACTGATCTCATAAGCCGATGATTGCTCGATATTGATGGCTTATGTTCAAAGGTGAACTGTTATCTCGACGACCTTTCCTCACTGCTTCACTGCAAAACAATTAGGACTACAGCCATTAAAATCCGCCGCTATCCTTTTCACCAGTTTGACGAAGGTGTACGAGCTCAAACTCGATGTGAAGTTATTAGGTGTCGCAGGCGGCAGCCAGCTGTCCTCTTACGACTCAAATTGCCACAACACTCCAGAAATTCTGAAATCGTTAGACTCACAGCATCTGAAAAGGCAAAGAAACGTTGTTGGCAACCTACAAGGCAATTGGCTTTACCGGTGGTAAGCTTTGCTGCAACGACCTGGGTACCAAGAACCAGCAAAACACAGATGAAGAAGCTACAAACCTGCCAAAATATCGACCTCCGGATTGTAGCAGGAAACCTTCTGATGCCGCTAGAGCATCACTTTCACAGCGAAGCATCTATGCTACGAGATAATGAACATAATGCTTTGCTATGCAATTCCCGCTGGGATTCTACCGTAGGGTACACCCTAACTAACCCGGCGCATAAGAAAGGGAGTACACGACATCAAGAACTGCAATCAGCACCACCTACAATGACAGGACGAGGTACCGAGAGGCATCAAACGTCATTCTCCGGGAGTCCGTTAACATCTATCTGAACTCTTTTTAACAGAATGACCTCCCTAGATTCAAATCAACCCCAATCGCACACGAAGAGCTCCAGCTGCCTCAAGAGTTCCGCGTAGTACTGGCGTAACTCAGTTCTGAATACTGCACCTACCTATCTACCCACACTTGACCGTGCAATGAGTCGCTGCTCGAAACTAACTGTCTCTTTTTATGCCACACCCCTTTCCCTCTGGTCTGAACCCGTCGAAACAGCTCGTTTCCTTTGAACTTCCTTTAGATGACTTCGATGACTTGCTCCCCAACGGGGCTAGTGAGCCGCTACAACAGCATCAACAACGCTCTACTGGGCCTCCAGAGATGCCAGTAATTTAATTGGAAAGAGCTTTTAAATGCCTTAAATCATTCCAAGAAGCTGTGACATGCTGGTTTCTCTACAGAACCAAAGAAAAATGTGTTATGTATTTCAAAACTAACTTCTCTTACACGTTTGTGAAGTACACCCACATCTTTCCTTCGAAATTTAGCTATAACACGGAGCTCGTCATTGTAGCATACTATGGGAGTTGATGTCTTAAGGACGTTCCAGATACGTACTGACTTAAAAACCGATTCACAGTGATTCTACTTCTATATTTTATTTCGAGGACAGGCAGGAGGTGGATTTAAATTCATTGAAGATAAGTATCCAACGCTGTTTCATAAGATTAATCTTATCTAGCCCAACAAAGGTCTGAACGTCCACAGGTAAGACTTCCAACTTTGCTCACCACTTTTTTGGTTGGTTTAAGACTACAGTATGTATGTAAATGTGAGAATATTGCTAAGCAAATCAGTCATGCAATAGTCAGGTGTTCAGAATTTCTTCATAAACTAGAGCAAATTTAGAAATTAAGAATGAGTAATAGAAAATACTTTAAGTAACGCTATACAGTAACAGTGGATAGCATAAAGTGTTACGTCTGAAACAATCAGCAAGTCAAATGTCTTGGGCTTCGCTTTTACTTTGCGTGCTGAAAACTTTTAACTCCTCAAAAACTTTTGATATCAGACTAATGGAATAGAAGAAATGCTCGTTTTACTGCATTTTCCTTTGGCACTCCTGCTGTTTCGTCATATATCGTGCACTAATTTATTGCAAAAGTAAATTTATTTCATTTGTTTGATGACACTTTGAACTAATAAATAAATAAATGTAGGCAAGAACATAAATCAATATTAGCAAAAAGTGAAATTAGCATGAAGACAAAGCATGCACATTCTATTTATAGAATGAGCATAAACTATTTTTATGTTTTCATCTCATTTTATTCCTACCTGTTCAACTTGTGTAGGAGTTTTTCAATTACCTGTCTTGGTGTGATATGTAGACCTCATGTGGTGTGTAGAAAGTGACGTGATTTCAAATAATGTTTAATGTATTGTGTGTAGCAAAAGTGGATTTTTTCGACTTATTTTTGGTTTTCTCACTATATGATGTGATGTGATAGCATGATATGATATGTAGGCCTCATGTGATGCATAGAAAGTGACGTGATTTCGTATAATGTAATATACAACTGATGTTTAAAGTATTGTGTCTTTTTTGTTTGTTAACTATATAACGTGATGTGATAGCATAATATGATATGTTTAATTTGATAATATATCTTATCTCATCAAATATCAAATCGAACGCAAAGTTGAGGGATTTGATGTCATGTGGCAATGTGACAATAGTAAAACGTAGCAAACTTATGTTTTAGAAGTTTTCTGATTACATTATGACTTTTTTTACTACACACATGACATTTTAATATAATATTGTTATGTGATGTGATGTGATGGGATGTAGTGTGATGTGATGGGGTTTGATATCATATGATGTAGTGTGATGTAATATCATGTTTAGCTAGATTTCAAAACAAGTAATACGATTTTTACCTTGACTTCATGTGATGTCATTTTTTTCCCTCAAAGAAAAAAGAAGATGTTTCATTTGATCAGGTCGGGTATAATCGAAACATATTTGTTATTTATATATGCTAAATTGAGAGCACGCATGATAGAACTTTTTCTCTTTGTGATAAGTCAGCGCTAAAGCTAACGATGTTCATATATTGCATACTTTTAGGCGCACACAAATTAAAGTTTTATCTCAGCATCTTTTCATAATCGCCCATATAATTAAACTATGGTCGTTTTTTAAAATATGCTTTAATTTAATTTAAAGTTTTAGCAAATCATTATGATACGTTACACTATATTTAAGTAACTATTAAACAAAGTCAATTAATTAATAAATGTCATATTTTTAGCCAAATTAATAATAAACAAATTTAACAAAACAAACAATTTTAATTATTTAATTGCCATAAAATTGTCATTGAACTCGTCACTACTACTACTTGAGTTACATTTATACCTACACATATTCAAGTATATATTTAAGTAATGACAAAACAAATTAAGTGGAATTACAGAAATAAGCAAAGCAAACATTAAAAGGAGTGCAAGGAGAAGTTGAGAAATTGTGCTAATGGAACTGCAATAATTTCGATGCCGCAGCTATGAAATAAATGAAGTAAAAGTGGAGTAGAATTTACGATTTCGCAGTAAAGTAACGCCTTAGGGTAAATTAAAAAAAAAAATGAAAAACGACCAGAGAAAAATAAACAATTGTAGATTTTATCCACAGAATGCACAATGGGAGAAATAGGAAAAAAAGCAATCAACTCAAAATCGGATGAAAATATCATATTCTTATTTTTCAAATGTTATATTATTATTCTAATTTATTTCGTTTTTTTTAATTAAATCTGATTAAAATAATTTTTTCAAATAATTTAATTTAAATAAGTAACTTAATTTTCTTTCATTTAATTTTTTTTTTAATTAATTTAATACAATTTATTTCACTTTATATTATTTATATTATATTGTTTTATTTATTTTATATTATTTTATTTTAATTTATTTTATTTTATCTTCTTTTATATTATTTTATTTTAAATATGTTTTGTTTTTATTTTAATTAACATTATGTTATTTTACTTTCTTATTTTATTTTAGTTCGGTTTGTTTTATCTAATTTAGTTGAGTTTAATTTAATTTTATTTTACTTTACTTTTATTTTGTTAAATTGTTTTATTTTATGTTATTTTATTTTATTTCATTTTATTTTTTTTATTTAAAATATTTATTTTAATTATTTTATATATTTTCTTTATTTTATTAACTTCACTTTATTTTATGTTATTTTTCTTATTTTATTTTGGTGATTATTTAGTTTTTTTATTTCATTTTATTTTCTCTTGGTTAAATTTATTTCATTTTATTTTATTTTACTTCACTTTATCTTATTTTATTTGATTTGATTTTATTTTTTTTTATTTTATTTCATTTTATATTGTTTTAATTTTATTACATTGTTTTATATTATTATATTTTATTTAGTTTTAATTTAATTTACTTTAGTTATTTTATTAATAATAATTATTTATATTAGTTATTTTATTTAATTAATTTAATTTATTATTTTATTTGTTTTATTTATTTCATTTAATTTATTTTATTATATTTTATACATACTTTATTTTAGTTTTTTTTTATTTCATTTTATTTTATTTTACTTCACTTTATCTTATTTTATTTGATTTTATTTTCCTTGTTTATTTAATTAATGTTATACTGTTTTATTTTTTTAATTGTTTCATACTATTTCATTAAATTTATATAAATTATTTGTTTTATTTATTTCATTTAATTTATTTTATTATATTTTATACATACTTTATTTTAGTTTTTTTTATTTCATTTTATTTTATTTTACATAAGTTTATCTTATTTTATTTGATTTTATTTTCCTTGTTTATTTAATTAATGTTATACTGTTTTATTTTTTTAATTGTTTCATACTATTTCATTAAATTTATATAAATTATTTGTTTTATTTATTTCATTTAATTTATTTTATTATATTTTATACATACTTTATTTTAGTTTTTTTTATTTCATTTTATTTTATTTTACTTTAGATTAGCTTATTTTATTTGAT